CCCAGCGGATGTGACGAGATGCATGGGGGCAAAAGTGATGATTGCCATCGACGTGGGCAGCCGGGACGAGATGGACCTCACCAAAATATAGCGACGCCCTGTCGGGGTGGTGGCTGCTGTGGAATCGCTGGAACCCTTTGGCCACGACAGGTCCAAGGTTGTCACGTCGCCTGCGGATGGGGTCACTCCCCCTGTGGCCTCTTGTTGCAGCCACCTTGTCTTCTGTCCCGAGTGCAGCAGGTGTGGGATCATCCAGGTGCAGGGTCCGAGCCCCCCTCTGGAGAAAGGGAAAACAGTGCGAACAGGCAGAGGGGCTCACATCTCACCAGGGCACACCAGGATGGGGGGAGCCCTTCAGAGCCATTGTGCAGCCAAAGGAAGCACTTGGGACATCAGGGGCAGAGGCGGGAGACTCGGCGCTGTGCCGGCAGGTGATGAACATGGCAGAGATCCAGAAAAAAAAAAAAAAAAAAAGCATATGCAAGCACTGGTGTTTGGTATCATGTTTTATGCATTGTCAAACCACCGTATCTTTTATTATTCTTTTGCCTCCATCTAAAATGCCCTCCTCTTGTCCACCAGGGAATCTCTCTCTTCGCAGAGCAGCTTAAAGATAACCGTCTCTAGTTTCCTTCCCCGTGGGACACAAGGAACTGCTCCTCCCCCTGTGCTTTTCAGGCACTGTGCACGCTGCTCCCGTCACTAAAGGCAGTCCTCAGTTGTAATATACGGTTTCATCTCCTCGATTACTTCCTGGGGTGGAGCCACCTGGATGCATCCAATAGATGAAAAGGTGGTAGACTGGACAAGATTTGGTGACTAAAGTAATGTGAATGATATAGAAGAGTAAAGAAGGAAGGATGATGACTTGGATGGGTGGGAGTATGCTGATATGCGTACTGAGATGGGCCAGGGTGGAAGACCACATTTGGTGGGGAAGGATATAGGGGAAAACAGGAGTTCAGGTGAAGGTATGTTGGTTGAGCATGTTTCGATCAGGTCTTTGAACTTGCAGGCTTGCTGCTCCAGTGAGACAGACGGACAGGCTGGAGGGGTAGACTTGGGAGTCATTAGAATGTGTACACAGGCCCCATTTAACTTGGCTTCTCAGAGCTTCCATTCATCGTCTACTTACTTCAAGTAATTTCCTTAAAATTATAAAATCAAAGAGTTGATTACAATATGATACTATATAGTTCCTATGATACTATATACTATAGTATCTATGATACTATATACTGTATAAACTATACTGTTGAAGGCTCTTACTCAATGAGAGCTGTCCAGTCCTCAACCAATGAGAGTTACAACGGTGGTTTGTTTTGTGTGTTCTCAGTCAATGAGAGTTAATGTGACAAACTGTCCTGTCCTCAGCCAATGAGAACTAATCTGTCCTGTGGGCTGTCAGTCAATAAGTGTTAGCATGCCACACTGCACACCCTGTTAACCTAGGCATTGGGGTAACAAGAGCTGCTAACATCACACAAGGGGTGCTTCCTACCATCTTGCCAAACACCACCTACAGTCCAGGGGATCTACCCCTCGTCTGAGCCTCTGGACGCAGCTGCCAGTTTGCAGAAAATGCAGGTGGCAGAGGAGCCTGTTGAGCCGCACAATGAGTATACGGTCAACACAATCCAGACTGCGGGGCTCTCTGCACAGCCAATGGCTTCTCCAATGTGTGTCTTATGTTGCTAACTGCTTTCTTCAGTGGATAAGTTTGAAGGGAAAGAAGGGGATCAAAAGGAAACCTGAAGATGCAAAGGGGCTTAAGAGGGAAATTTGGGAGGTTGAGTGCATGATAGCTTGTTTGGGAACATGGTGAAAGGAAAACTGAGAAGTATTTTCATAGCTTCAATTTTCTCAGGGAGACAGGAAACAAGGCTATGAGAGAGAGAACATGGAACGAGGGCATGGAGATTTCAACGATTATTATAATCATAAAATCTCCTTGGAGGCAAAGAGGAGATGGTGCCTCCCGTCTCCTGTTCTTCAGGCTGCCTCTGAGGCCTCTGCAGGGGACACAGGGTTTCTCTCTGGGGCTCCCAGGGGAATCAGCCACAATCTCTGCCAGGTCTAGAATTAACATGAGTTTTCTTCCCCCTTTGGTTTTTCTTAAATGATTGTTTATTTTCACCCTAGTTAAAAGGCAGAGAGAGAGAGAGAGAGAGAGAGAGAGAGAGACAGATGGAGATGGATGTTCTATGTGCTGGTTCACTCCCCAAATGCCTGCAACAGCTGGGGCTGGGCCAGGCCAAAGCCAGGAAGCTGGAACTCCATCTGGGTCTCCCATGGGAGTGGCAGGGGCCCAAGTCATCATCTGCTGCCTCCCAGGATGCAATAACAGGAAGTGGAATGGAAGTGGTGGAGCCGGGACTCCCTTCCAGGAATTCCAATATGAGATGTGGGCCTCACAAGTGACGGCTTAGCCTGCTGTGCTATAACACTGCCCTCCTCCTCCAGTTTTGTCTGTGAGGGAATTCTGGTTGGAATCACAACTCTTTGGAGCTGGAATTGCATTTCCTTGTCATCAATATGGAAAAGCAAAGATGTGCATTGAATGCTTGGATTATAGCTAGGGAATCCCACAGCTCCCAGTGACAGGCTGCCTGCATGCATGCGCCAGCAGTATGATGCTGGGGTGTAAAGGATTCCAAAGACTCTGTATTCTGAAATGCTGATATTCTTGATCTATTGGGTGAACCCACATGGATTTTTTTTTTGAAAACTGTGTTTGCATTGATAGGACTTGTTTCTTTGGACACTACCTAAAAGTCAACCAAGGACAGCACCAAGTACCTGCCTCCCTTGGAAAATCCCTGCTTCCGTGGAAGAAGTTCAGAGGGCACTATCAAATCAGTTTGTTTCCTGTACTAAGAGAGACTTTGTGGACATATCAAAAGGTAAACCTGTTTGTTCTTTGCCTTTCCCTGGTCGTGTGCTGGCCCTGGAGTCGTAATGATTGGCTGCAAGGAATCTGCAGTGTAGACATGACACAGGGCACTTCATAAGCAGTCAAGAGTCAGAAGCTGCACCTAGTCAGAAACGCAGGTTGCTGTGGGTGCAAGAATGGAACATGTGGCCCACTGGGGTGAGGGAGCCAAGTATAGCTCAGAAAAGACTTCCCTTCCCGGGCCTGACTGCTGAAGAGACATTAGCCAGGCAAAGGCCCAGGGGAGTGTGCTGTGCTGGGGCCCTGATGGCTTCAACAAGCATTTGAGGAACTGAAAGAACTTCGGGATGCATAGGGTGGACTTGGGGGCGAGGATGGAATGAAAGAAAGGACCTGTGAGAGCAGAGGGAATGCAGTCTTGAAGGGTGGCATAAGGCATGCTAGAGTTTGGGGTTCATTCCAGGAGCAACTCAAAGGTTTTTACGGGGCAGGGGAGATGACACAGTTCAGCTGTGAGCTTCAGAAGCTCCCACCCCACCCCCACCGGCTGCAAATGCAGAAGGAAGGTGGCCCTGGCCGGAGGAGCAAGGCCAGCCACAGACTGCTCCAGCAGCCTAGGGAGGTGCGTGGTGACGTGAAGCAGGGCAGTGGGGGTGCATCTCCAGGCGTCACATGCAGGGTGTTGGGGTGGGCGTCGTGGGGGATAAGCCACTTCATGGGTGGGCACTGTGGCTCTTGGCTCACATGGTGTCACCAGCACCCATTCCAGGGGGCTCACCCTATGTGATGAAAAGAAATGATTGAACAAATGAAGGAATGATAAGGGCCAGTGATTGACAGGTGCTAGGGAGAAGGGAATGAGAGGAGCCAGCTGCCTGCCTTGGGATGGGATGGTGGTGAAACAGGGTCTTCTTATTTTCTGCCTGTGCAGGGACAAAACCCAGCACTCTCTTCATCTGCCTCCTGAAACAACATATACCTCCTGGGATGGGAGTTCTGCTATTTGTATTTTCCCCTGGAAGAGTCTGGATTCTTCTGTGATTCACCTGACCCTGCCCCCTTGACAGTTTTCTGTAGCATAGCGATGACGGCATAACTTTGTCACTGCTTTGTGCCCATTTTTCTCAGGGGCCCAACACGCATTTGATGCATAAAGATACATTTTCTAGAAATGTCATATTTGCTGATGCATTCTGTTCGTGTATATCAGGATGCAAGGCGCTTCACTGAGGATTCGTGAAAGTTGATGACAGGTAGTTCAAAACCCAGAGGAGCCTTGCTTTCCCTCAGTTTTGGAGAAAACAGCGCACTCTGGTTTCTGCTGCAAGCCTTGTGATCAATTGGCTCCAGGTGGAGCATGGGTGTTCTGTCTGTGACAATGCAGTGGCAACAGCTGAGGGCTGGCTGCCATATGGGATCTGAACACAAGCAGGGAACGTGCAAGTCCACAGCTTCCTGGGACTGAGAGACGCGGCAGGACAAGGCTGAGCCTCCCAGGGCCCGTGTGCCCCGCCCCCTGCTCTACAGGCCCATCAGGCCGCAGGCGCCGAGGCTCTGTCTCCCCTCTGCTGTTTCTGCTGCATCATCTCTCCCTCTCCGGGGATTACTCCTGCACTACTGGCACACACACTGGCTGCAGTGAGCACCATTGAAAACCAAGGCAAGAGCGTCCCTGGACCCCATGTCTCCCTGGAGCCACTCCACATTGCTCTGCTCCCTCTTTGTAGACTGCTGTTGTTTACTGAGCCCTTGACAGCAACCCAGGGAGCTGTACTCCCAGCCCTGGAGCAGGACTCTGAAGCTCAGAGGGTAAGCCACCCTCACGGGGTCACCCAGCTAGCGACAGGCGGACTCTAGGCTTGGAACCCAGGCAATTTGGCTCCCCTTGTCAAAACCAAGCTTCAGCTTCCTCACAGCTGAAATTCCATTACACATACTGCTTCCCATTCTTAACTTGTTGGTTACTGAAAATGATAATTTACTTTTATGAAACCCTGATTACTCAAGAGCTAATGAAGAAATAGCAACTGTTCTTTGTGCCCTGCCCCACACCCCAGCCCTAACCCAGCTTCCCATTGTTAACCAATTTCAGTCTTTTCAACTCTTTGTTCTTACGTGATCCTCCATCTTTTTAAATAATTGCTTCTATAGCACTTCCTTGATTCATCAATTTTAGGAATTGTTTTATGTGCTGTTACGGTAGTGGAGGACTTGGCCTTTCCATAACTCCTTCATACTCCCCCTCCATCCATTGTCTCAATGGACTTATGTTACATGTTTTTGGCAAAACTTGATTGGTAACACTTATCTTTGGATGATGATAATATGACATATTGGGATCACAATATGCTAGATTACACTTATGTAACACACACTGCTGAGTTAGGTTGCATTTCACAATTGTTTATTTTACTTTTCTTTTTATTTCTTATTGTCAGAGTTAATACCTTTTCCCCATATGCTTAATTTTCTATGTGCCCTCACTAATTTTCCCAAATATTTGTCACCCATTTACTGAGATTTTTTTTCCCAAGCACAGTTTCCGACATTCCAGCCATTCGAAGGTTTTTGCTGGAGGTCTTTTCTGATACCCTTCCTTCTTGGCCTCTAGCCTGGACTTGCTCTGCAGGTTGTTGCCCACTCGTGCCCTGTGACTCGCTTTGTCATTATTCTGGGAACTGCTTTTGTCTCTCTCCTGCCTGGGATCCCCAGCTTCCTGAGTCCACATCTGCCTCCTCCTTTCCCCCTCCTCCCTCAGTTTACCGAAGCACATCTTCTCGTAGCTTCCTAAGAAAGAGTGCACAGGCGGACATGTTTTGAGTTTGTTCTTGCCAACCTAAAGATGCCGTTCTCCTCATTACATTTAAGTGATAGTCGAGAGTCATTTCCCTCCGAAGGCATTCTTCCATATGTCTTCTAGCACCCAGCATTTCTACATAGGAGACCGATGCCATCTCAATTCCTGGTCCTTTTATAGGTTCCCCTCTTAGAAACACTTTATTTCTGACTTTCTGAAATTTCATCATTATTTGCCTTGGTGAATCTTGTCATTATGTTGGGCCTTTCAGGGCCCCTTCAATTCACATCCTACAGTTCTGATAGATCCCCCCACCCCTACCCCGCATCAGTCCTTTGTTCTCTCTTTTCTTTTCTCTGACTGCTGCTAGTTGGATTGATCTTCTAATTACCTTTTCTCTCCTAGGGCCTTTCTATTTGTACTTTTGTTCTATTTATTTGAAAATGTTTTGCTTTTTAATCCAACTCTTCTATTGAATTTTTTTCTTCTTCTATTGAATTTTTAAAAATTTATTTATCTGAAGAGACAGAGAGATGAGGGGAGGGAAAGAGAAGAGAGAGAGGGAGAGGGAGAGAGAGAGAGAGAGAGAGATCCCATTGACTGGTCCACCATCCAAATGCTTGGAGTGGCCAGGCTTGGGCAGGACTGAATATGGGAGCCAAGAACGCAATCTAGGTATATGGTATTGGTATGAGGGACCCAAGTAATTGACTGATTACTTGCTGGCTCCCAGAATGTGCATTAGCAAGAATCTGGAGTCAGGAACCAGAGCGAGGAATCAAAACCAGGCACCTTGATGTAGGATGCAAGCATCTTCACCAGTGTCCTAACTGCTAGGCTCAGCATCTGCCCTTGTTGAATTTTCAGTTCTCCTAGTTTTACTTTCTAAGCTCTTTCTTCCTCTCTCTCATTATTTTTTAAAAACAGCAACCTGTTCTTGCTTTATAAGTACAGTAAGTCTCTTAAAATTTTTAGGGCATTGATGATACACTAAATTCTTAGCATTTTCATCTGTTCCTTGCATTGCTCCTGGTTCCTCTGAGTATCCCACAGACTAATGGAAATTTGGCTACCTGTTCGTATTTACAAGGGAGCAGAGGTGGAGCTACTAAGAAGCTAACCAAACTTAAACTTATTTCTGTGGCTCTTCTTTTTCTTTCTTTCTTTAAGATGGATTTATTTATTGAAAGAGTTACACAGAGAAGGAAGGAGAGGCAGAGAGAGAGAGAGAGAGAGAGATCTCCCATCCGCTGCTTCACTTCTCAGTTGGCCACAACAGCTGGAGCTGTGCCCATCCGAAGCCAGGAGCCAAGAGCTTCCTCCTGGTCTCCCACAAGGGTGCAGGGCCCAAGGACGTCTGCTGTCTTCTACTACTTTCCCAGGCCATAGCAGAGAGCTGGATCGGAAGTGGAGCAGTCGAGACTTGAACCGGTGCCCATAAGGGATGCTGGCACTGCAGGCGACAGCTTTACCTACTACACCACAGTGTCAGCCCCAAGGGGTCCTTCTTTTTCTCAAAGTGGACGCACCCAGAACATTAAGCTCCAGAGCTCAGAAAACCTACAAAGCAGGAAGGTACAGCACTCACATCTGCTTGTTAACTATGCAGAGACTCGTTGGTTGGTGATTGGTTTAGGCGATGAGGAACTCCTGAGTGCTGTGTTTGCGGGCCAGTGAGAAGGAGACACATGACTGTGGACATCCTGAGAGCATGACTGGGGAAGGGCGGGGCTCGGGTCTTCCAGCTGGTGTGCAGACTGCCCAAGACCCCTCTTCCCCGACCCAACATCCCATTCCTACTGTGGCGAGCATCCCTGGGTCCAGAGCATCTTTGGTTCAGTTTTGTGGGGGATAAACTGGTTAGGAAGTGTTTGAGCCTCATTTTTTCTGCTGTAGCAGAAGCCACATACTGGGTAAACCATAAACACTAGAAGTTTATTTGGCTCCTTCCGGAAGCTCAAAGCCAAGGTTGAGGGGCTGTGTCTGAAGGGTCTTCCTGCTGCATCGCAAGATGGTGACAGCTCCTCAGAGAGGAAGGGTGAGGGTTGCACCTACAATTTTATCATGAGCTCACTCCGGAGAACACTAACCCCCTCAGTGATCTCCTTAACCCGTTCTCAGGGCAGGACCCTCACGACCTAATGACCCCTGCAAGGTCCCATCTCCTAACACTGTCAAAACGGCAACTTAATTTCAACCTGAGATTTGGAGGG